AAAAAAAAAAAAAAAAAAAAAAAGGGAGCAACTGGCACTAAACAGCCATGCAGATTTCTTCTCCCATCAGAACAGTACATACAGTAGTTAAGTAGCATCAGCTTGTAACAGACTTAAATCTGTGAGTTTTAAAGTTATGTTTTGTGTTTTGGCAGAGAGATTGTTTGAAGCCAACCATATTGGGGCAAAAACCACAGCTGAAGGTGTCAATTCCAGGCTGGAAAAGTGGTTGTACTTAAAATATAGACCAGGCTATGCTGGAACATTTGGGATCTCATGGCATTATGATAACTAACCAAATGCCAAATCACACAGTTCCTTGGTGAAAGCAGAAGGACTGGAATGCTAAAACAGCAGTTTCATAACATGAAACTTTCACCTCCCTAAAGTTCCCATGGGGGCTGTGTGGCTGAGCATTCAAATTAGACTAAAATCCTGGCATCCCTCTCTGCACTGACAGAGGTGAGGCCAGGGCCCATTTTGTAAAAGCTGTGTTAGGGTCTACAGTCCTCAGATGAAAAAGTTTGTACCTTGGCTAAAGGAATAGTCCTAAGGATGGTGATTAATCACTGTTGGTCTCTCTGAATACATCATCTTTGGAGTACTGGGGCATCTGGCCAGCTGTATCAACTGTAACACAGTGTAGACAATAAAGTGTAATGCATTTAAACATAAGCTGCTCAATATACACTGCACTGGACACCAGAGATGGTGAGGACTTCTCTCAGCTGGCTACACAGCTATTGGAAAAGTGCTGATTTACTCATTTCCAACCTGCTTTACCGCTCATGTGTTAACAAACCCCAGTTAGCCTTTTCTAATTGTAAAGTCAGGTTGCGTTCCAGGAATAGTCAATATCAGCTGTATTTAATAATGTGTTCTGGCAGATCCTGTTGATAGATTCCAATATTGACAGGGACAAAATTACAACACCAAGGAAATACATATTAAGTCCACGAAAGCTGTACATTATTGATCATTTAAATCCAGAGACAACACTATAGAATGAACACTGAACAAGCTGTTTCCTGAAATAACATTTTAGACCATGAACATTTTTGTACCATACTCATCTATATAAAGGGATGTTGAAAGCTCTGTGCCTCAAGGCAACCCCCCCAATTTGCAGAGAATAACCATGTTGCATTCTTTATTTAGGATTTGATTTTGTAATTTCATACACAAACAGCCTTTTCTAAGCAAGTCCACTGACAGCAAGGCAGTCACTTACGTAGGCAGAGATTTTTCTCGCAGGGAAGGGTTTGTAGGCATCTGTTAGTATGTATGTTCTAATTAAATTGATGCTTAATATTGTAGTCCCTTAATTTATCCAACAACCATTTCAGCTCATGTAACGAGCACCCTTGAAATACATTTTTATTTTTACCTGCGTTAGCACTTTTAATACAAAGGGAGTGATATGACCCCAAGCTACAGTGTGATATTAATTTGAGCTCTAGAATGTCAACAGGAGAAGAAAAGGCAGTTTATCAGGGTAACAAAACGTTCCATTATCAGTCTGCAAAATATACATGACATTTAGAAGACAGTGATCCTCATACCCTTTTGAACTTTTGCAAGGATCTGTTACAAAATGCCCTGAGCAACTGGTAGATTCTTGTAGCTTTGGAAGAGAAAGCAATTGGCTCCCATCAACAGTCTCGTGACCTACAGTGTGGTTAACACGGGACCAAACTCCCTTCTGCAGCGATACAGCCCTGAGCATCAGAAGTCCTCAACACACTCCAGGCTCATAAATTCATGACCAACACATCATCTCACTAAACTAAATTACTTGGATTTGGGGATGTTTCTCAGAGAGATATAAAATACAATACAAAATTTTCACTGATCAGTAAGTTACTTCAAGTTAATTTTGCAAGTTGACACTTTAGGAAGCACTGGACATCTTCAAAGAGCAGACAAACATTAAATTAGCTTTGCTGCATTTCTATGAAGTAGGTACATGACAGTAGGCTTATTTTTACATTGGGAAAACATGGAAGCTGAAGTTGAAATTATTAAAGTTGCTGTGTTTTTTTAATCTTGCTTCCACAGAAGTCAATAGAAAAATTGTCAGTGCCAGATTTGCATTTCCATGGGGTCCCTTTATACTCCTTTGGTCGGGCAAAAAGCCAAGTTTTAAGTATCTTGACCTTGCCAGGCAGTGTAATGGAATCTTAGTGGAAATAAGAATTAGGCCTCCATCAGGCTGAATAGGGATGGATTTACATAACTGCTGTGTGCTTTGAAAATTCTACCCACAACTAGATGATTTGACCAACATGACACAACAGGTTTATGGCAGAGGCAGTACGACAACTCCGCCTGACATGGAGCACTAGACCAAATTAGTCACTCTGAATATATTTCTAGCTTGGAAGAAGGCTCAGTCACACAGAAATCTTTAAATTATTTTAAAGGATATCTTAAAAATAGAAATGGTATACAACATTTGATCCAATAGTTCTCTTGATGATCCATTACCAAGGTGCTCAAAAGTAAGTGCTGTCTGTGATAAGCTACTTTAAGGGGAGAACAAGACAGATATGCACAGGGTTCCCACCACTAAAATATGGTGATATCAAACAAGTTGTTTCAATAGCATGTGTAAAAGATGGACAAAGGTAGAAAGGCTAAAGAATTATTGTAGAAATAAGATTCAAAGGATCCCGGCTAAGAAGACGGGCCTGGATGGAGCATAGAGGCTACCTACCCTCGCTGGATACCAACATACTGTGTTTGTTCTATATGGATACTTAATTCCTCTAGCTGTCAGCACAGTTAAGGCTGAGGAATGCCCTGCATGTGAATATATATGTATGACTTGGGACTGAAATGCTGTCTCAAGAAAACCACCCAAGTTTGTTTAAAATTCTATCAGTTCAGTAGGTTGTTCCTTCCATCCTTCCACTCCACCCCCAACCAGCAGTTACACTTTAACCATGTATGGAAGAGACTTCAGAGGTCTGAGTCATTAAAACCTACAGAGAATAGAAGAACTTGGCAAATATGAAAGAAAAGCATTTTAAATGGCTCTGAGACAGCCTGCTCTCCCTTGCTACTGAAGATGTGATGCATGTGTTGCCATTTCGGTGTAGAAGCTGGTGATCTGAGGTTTTGGACAAGTCCCTAAATTTAATTACACACAAATGTGCCCCCTAAACTGTTCAAATACAAATTATCATGTCAAAAACTGCAGGAAACCTTTTGATCTTATTAAAAGCGACAAACAACAACAAAATCCCCACACGTCAACATTTAAAGTAGTAGTCTTGTGTGTTATCTGCAGACAAGCTTCCTGCCAAGTATTCTTGTCCATGCCAAAACCTGTGCTTATTTTTGGATAGTTTCTTATTTACAACCCTTTCATGTGCACAAAAATGCCTTTTTTAAGAGTCGTTGATCACATGAAAAGCTCTAACACATCTCCTCTCACAGCACATGATCTATTGGGGAGAATGTTACAGCAGTCTTCCTCTTTTCTATAAGAAACAGACATTTCAGGAAGAAAAAAAAAATAATCCAACACAACACTGAGGAAAGATCCAGGACACAGGAAACATTGTGTAGAAGCTTACACAATGATAAGACATTACCCAGAAGCATGTGGAATTTACCATGGACAACATCCTGCTCCTGGTAATACTGTAAGATGCAAAGAAAGCTAATGGATATGTTTCCCCCACCCCTCCATATTTTAGAAAACATTTATCCACACATCTTCCAGATCTGCCTTTATGAAAAACAGATTTTCTGATGACGCTCACTTTCCAATTTTTAGGATGTTCCCATTCAGAGTGTTGCTAAGTAATTACAATTCAGCATGATATTTCCTCCCTGAAGATAATTCAGCGGACTCAGATTTTCACAGAGCACATTGAGAAACTGGAATCCAGGAAATCTGAGCTTTATTCCCAGCCTTCTGCAATCACTGCATTAGAGAGCAGCGTCTCATTTTCTCAATTAAAAAACAGAACTAAACCCACTAGTCTCCTTTTCAAACACTTAAAAACTTGACTAATAATCAATAAAAGCTTTTTCTTTTATCACCATAAAAGTATGTAAGTTAAGTACTCAGTCCCTACACCTGACAACAATCAGATTTTGACATTTATTTTTCATACTCTCCTGGAATATTCCAGACAACATTTACACCAATTCAACCACAACGTGATTATTCAAGAGCAGAGACTCCACTTACTGCTGCATCAATCCAGAATAACTGATTTCAAATGCAGTTAGTCCAGGTCTCAGTTCTATTGCTGTAAATCCAAGTTGTGCCCCTCATCATGGAATCTGATCCACGACAGTACTTGCAGCCATACAGATTCCAACCAGAAAGTGTGCCTTCGTCTGCCCGATTACAAAATAATTTAGCAAGGGTAACAAAGAAATACAGATCCAAGTGATTCCCAGTGCCATTTGATTTCTGACAGCATCATTAATGATTCCTTTACTTCTGTGAATCCCACCTTCTCTCCTACCCCCGCCATTCTGACTCACAATAGGAATAAATTGGGAAAAACGAGAATACTGTATATATTGAAAGAAAAATGGACCTATGCCTTTTAATTACTTCATGGATGACAGTTTTTCTATGCATAGTGTCCACATCAAAGTATATCATTACAGATAATTAGTACTCTATTCGTCATGAAATTCATTCATTTTGTAAAGACTTTAAAATGTCACTCCCACATCAAGCAGAAAATCATACATTTAAATAATACTCTCTATAAACATTTTACCATTTTACCCTCTGTCTCTTACTCATTAATGAGAACACAAATTTGCTGTTCACACATTTTTCTTCAACTTTTTTAGCCCAACATCAGAATCAGCAGAGTTGAAAATTATTTTGTCACACAGAACATATTAGAACACCAAGTGAAGATGAAAACTCGGAAGAAATATCTGGGAGCAAGCTGCAAAGATTTGAGTGCCAAAAGCTTCTCATTACCTGGAAAAACAACAAGATATAGACCAAAAAAAAAAAAAAAAAAAAAAAAAAAAAAAAAAAAAAAAAAAGATAAGCTTCAGAGTTTATTCTCCATAAAAATTAAGTGGGTCCTACAAGTCTTCGTTGCTCAGAACATACAACTGTGGAAATTCAGAAACTAATCAAGTCAGGGGCTGGATGGGCTGGATGGGGTTTCTTGTACAATAGGACACCTCTGAGTTATGTGCTCTTGGCCCTGGGGAACCTACCACATATACAGCCAACAGATTTTAATTGAATCTAAAAATAATCTAGAAAGTTACATTAACACATGGTCATGTGCTAAACATTACTGCAGCTTGCCTAGTAGGAGACATCAACACATAAATCTCTGCTTCCCTCCTTTCAGATATTACCAGAAATTACAAGAAGAGACAAATCTCTTATTTCTATGGATTAACTGGAGTAAAGTGAAGAAAAACACACATGCTCTACGTGACAGATACAACTAATTTCTATTAAAGCTTTCAGTGGTTCTTGAATTCAGCATATGGCTTTTGTATGGATAAATATAGATGAAGCATTTACCTGAAATAATGTTTTCATATTTCAGTATTTTTATCACAGCATTACCTAAAGGTCCAGTTCAAATCCAGTCCCTCATGTGCTAGGTGTGAATAAGACTACACTCCTTAACAGACTGGTTCAAGACAAAGCACTATTACTTTCAGAGGTAGGGAAACTTAATGCAGACAGATAAAATAACACGCCTGAGATCACATGGAGCGCATGCCTCAGAGTTTAATATTAAACTTGCTCCTCTTAGTGAGACGCAGTTCACTCTCCAAGCTCATTCTCATGGTTGGAAAAGCTGCTGTGCCCATTTATGCCTGCATCTAGTTACTACTCTCACTTGTTGGCCGTGGACCATAGGTGTGGAAGACAGTAAACTAGTATATGCTGGTCATATAGAGAGAATATTTTGAATAAGGGAAGACCGTTCAGTCACCTCAAAGGAGTCTCAAGGGAAATCTCTGGTGTAGAACAGGTAGGAAGCTGTCTACAAGGTGCTTTAAAAGCTATTACCCACACTCTGAGTTCTGGCTCTTCCTTTAAATGACTGCCTCTGTTGAACTGTTTGCCTTAGGAAGTCGTGGAATAACAAACTTTGTTGTTTAAATTTCAAGAAAATATTCTGGAAAAGCTTAACAGGGCCTCCCGAGCTCAGACCATTAGCAGCCATCTCAAGCCACTGATGGGAGACGAGGGAAGACCCTTGGGAGTGCTGGAGAAGGCCCTGCAGAGAAGGACTCCACTTAGCAGCAGCAGCAGGCAGCCTTTATTTGCAACAATATATCATGTACCTCCAGCCTTTCCGAATGACCATAAATTACTAAACAAGAGGATAAATACCTAAAGGAAATCAAAGTTGAGGTCAATAACGAGAAGGAGACTGGAGTAGAATAAAACTGGAAAAGGAGATTGAAGATCCTGCCCTGGTATCAACCACAGTGCTTGTCCTTAAGTCCAAGCATCTCCATACTCAGAGACTGAAACTTTTGAGATGAAACGGATTCTCCCATATTTATGCCAGCATAACTAAGGAAGACCTAACCCTAGGTCTCATTTAAAATGTTCTAAATGTGCTACTAATTATTGAGTCAAATCATCGAGTTTGAGACTGGTCCTAAATGGTTCCAGGTGCAGCTCAGAAATCTAGAATTAAACCCAAACTTTAAGTTTCAAATGCTTAGTGTCAGCCTCCATTTTCTGTTAAATTAAAGCAATAATTTAAGCCCAAAATTAATTAAGTTACTAAGCAGGCTTGAGGCTGAGCCCATCTTCCAGTTTTTATAAAAAAATTCTCAAATTGAATTTGCAGTTACATGCATGGCATTTCTTTTACTTTTGTTTCAGGATGTTCATTTGGGGGAATTTAACAGGCAAGAGATGCCTATCTGAGAATGGAATCAATCAGGAATGCAGTTACAACAGAAAGAATTTCAGCAAACCATAAAAGAGAAAGACAGGAAAAAAGAAAAGCCTAGTACAAGAATAGTCCAGCAAAATGCAACTGCAGTGAGTTTGGGCTGTTTCCCAGTACTCCGGGGGGAATTCTGCTATTTGCTGAGTTTAGTGAATGTAATCTAGTGCAGAAGGAAAAACTGGGGGTGGGGGGACGGAGCTGAAAGTGCTGCTGCTTTCATCATTTTCTCAGTTCTATTTTGTATGAGAAATCATAGAAAAGACAGAAAAATTATTGTATTACTGTGAAAGCACACAGAAACTTGCAAAGCACATGTTCTCAGCACACATAAGAAGGACTGACTGGACACTGAATAAAACCATACAACCAGAATGAAAAAAAATAAAGTCACTCAGCAGGCAGAGATGAATCAAGAAACAGGGGACACAAAAAGCAGTTTGGAAATAACATCTGCAGTGGTAAGTCAGTCTCATTTTCTTATAAAGTAAAAGGGAGTCAATACTGTCCAGTACACTTTATAGACAACACCATTTGAGTTACTTTCCTCCAAGAATCTCAGTATGCAACTTTAGGGAAATTAAAAATCATTCAGAAGACATAAAAACAGTTAACAGGAAGTATAAAATTAAGTAATTCAAACAGAATCTACCTCCAAAACCAGCAGATACTCCACAAGTTATTTGTAGCAGAAAATTTAGAAGAGATTGGAAAGGTCTTAAACCTCCTGAGGTTTTAAATACTTACTTCTTGCAGCCAAAATCACATCAGTGGAATATCCGGGAAAATTTAAAAAAGATTGCATTAAGGAGCATAACTAGCTGAGAACATGATGTAGCCTTTCCTCTGGACTGTCCAGCCATAGGCATTTACTCATTCAACAGAAGCACAGAGCATGATACTGTAGTGCAGCCTTTTACATAGAGATGCCAAAGAGGGGAAAGGAAGGGAAAAGCCCTTCCCCAAAGACTTTAGTTCAGCCCACTCATTAAAATACAGAGTGGAAACAGCTGCCGCAGAAAGGAAGAGGATGTCCAGGCTATTTTTTAACTTTCTTAGGTGTAAAATAGTTTCATTCTGGAAAATGAGTAAGAAAAATAATTTTTCTTTTGAATTTCACTCTTCCTCTGCATTGCTCTCAAAGAAAGTGGCACTAGCTCAACTTAGCAGTAAGTATAGCACAGTGGATAGTCACACTTCATTTTCAAAATCATTACATCTCATTAGGGGAAAACAGATCTCTAACAGACACTCCCTCTCCCCCCTGCAAGGACTAGTACAAACACACTTGTCCTTTATAG